AAAAAAAAAAATCCTCTGTGGATTATTCCAGAGAGAAAGTTCCAGAAATAACACTCTCTGCAAAAGGAGGAAGAAAAGGTACGATCCCCCTCCCCCGCTTTTCATTCCAGACCATTAAAGGCACTCCAGATTGGCCTCTCGGAAGCACTTTTCCAGCCGTCCCCTCCATCTATCCATAAATGCTGCAGATAGAAGTGTCCCATTCTCCAAAAACAACTAAAAGGGCAAGGTAAAGGTATGATTTTTGAAAAAAAGGTGCCATTTGCAACACTTTTTCTCTTCTTCATCAATGTCTTCTTTTCTTTTAGATCCAATTTAAAGTGCATGGATGAGGTAAACTATTTCTTCATAGTTGATTTGTCTCTTTTTTTTAATATTTAATCTTTTTTTGTTATTTGTTTTTTTTTTTCATAAGAAACAAAGTCGTTTTGCTTCCTTTTTTCTTTGTTTTAATCTTCTCAGACGGGAACCATTCTGCCTTGCATCTGTTGCATTTGGGATAGCATTCCCTGGACACTGGTCAGGATCTTGTTCTGGTGCGCTGCGGAGGAGATGCCTATGCGCGCCATGTCCCTGAAAAGGATTGGGAGAAGAGGCCTTTTAGGACCGAGGACAACAATAACATGCACACGGAGGCCTGATCCACATGATGAATTTTACAGCCTACCAGTGGAAACTGGTCTGACAGTTTAACTGCTGTATAAGGAATTTCACTTGCCAACACGGCAACTCTAATCGTGTAATCTTAGCAGAAGAAAAATGTGGATATAATAAAGAAGTGACAAATTTAACTCATGTTTTCCTTTCTAAATGTGTCACAGAATACCTTAATAAGGGGATAACTGCTAAAAATGAAGCAGAGACACCGGGGGAACCGCTTAACTTGGCTAAAAACTTAAGCAGAGGGAAACAGCCAAAAACATGCTCTTTTACTTGAGCTAACTAGCTTAGCATAGCTTAGCTTATCCTTAACATCTGAAGCAAAGTTAAGTCGCTAGCAGTGTGCTCAAATTATTTGAGGTGACTAGATTAGATTAATTTAGTTTATTTTAGTTCATATATAACTGAAGCAGAGGTAACATAGTAGCTAAATTCCTTGAATTATTTTCGAAAACTAGCTTAGCTTATTTTAGCGTAAATTCTAAAAGCACAGTTTGCCAGGATTATTTCAGGGAATTAGCTTATTTTTGCCTGACGTAAAACCGAGTGTTTGTGTATGAACAACATGTTCCTAAGCTGTTACATTTGGAAACAGCAGGTTGGCTGTTTTCATGTCTTATGCTCAGCTTAGCTTTATATTTATGAAGGTGTTTTAATCGGTCTCTCTTTGAAAAGGTTTAATGAGAAAATGTGCTTTCACTGTTTTGTCATAAAATAATAGATAAACACAGTTGTTACTAATCATGTCTCCTAAGAGCTCTAGTAATGTCTAAATAGGATCCCAGTAACACCACTTGCCCCAGCCAGTTGGCAACTGTGTTCCCAAACAGCTTTGTAATGCTGCCCTAAAACCTCTTCACAGTTGTTTTGGTTGTGAGGATATTCCTGCGGGCACGGGTAGTTTGCGTGGAAATCACTGACTTGCCTGCAAACTCTCACCAACTACTTGCAAACTGGACGGCAAACTGAAAGGGGAGACCATTCATCTTAAAAGTAGATGTTTCATCTTTTGAAACAACTTTAACTTACTCTGGTTCCAGTTTGTGCCACACTTTTGCAGGTTTTTCTTCTGCTCTGTGGTAGATAAGTGGGTGTTTGCAAACAAGTCACCGTCTGCCATGGAAACTAAGAGCGACCTGTCGACCCACTAGTAACCAAAACAATCACAAGGAGGTGGTGCAGCACCCTCTTTGTAAACTGTTTGTAATGGTTTGTGTGAGCTATTACAAACTGAATAATAGCGTAACAAGTTTTAAAAAAAATTCATAAAATTGCCTACTTTTACAAAAACGTTCCTATTTCACTGTGATGCTTGGCATTTCCTTTAGTTTTCTGTTTCATTCTTCTCATCCTTCAAAATCACTTGCAGCATGGTAAAAGTATGATTGTGGGGAAAGTGCTTACTCTTGCGTCATGTGGACCACAGCCTCTGGAGTTGTGTAGCCAGCGGCCGTGAAGTTGTCGCAGTATCTCTCCATGCCGATGGCCTGCAGCCAGTCCTCCACTGTGCCCACAGCCGCGGACACCTCGGGACTCCCTGGCTCAAGCAGGGTGGTAGTGGGCCTGTAATAGGTGGAGAAAAGTGACGAGGTTATTTCACGAAAGCAAACTTCTCATTGTGTTTAAAGCTACTGCACTGTATGCAGCTGTTTGCATGTAGATGATAAAAGCCAGTTGTTTAAGTGCTTTTGACTTGAAGCATAATCATCTCCATCTTTGATTACCTCCGATTCACCTCAACTGCAGCAACGGCCACACTGCGGGAATCATTCCATAATTCTTAACTATGCTTCTGCGCTGTAGTGTCAAAAATGTGTGACAATTACAAGCTGTAAAAAGCACCGAGCTACACTTCTCCCTGGCTTGTCCTCCCTGATTGAATCAGCAAATGTGTCAGCTTAGCAATTTTGTAGTTTTTTGTGTCTGTATTTTGCAGGCTGCGCCCAAAAACTGAGCCAAGTCAAACACAGCTCCTCCTCTGGTGTCACCGATACAGTTAGTTAATCCTTATTTCACGGAAAACACACAACCTGGGCACACTTCGGTGAATTTTACAGTGTGCTTGGAGTCCCTCTTCACATTCAGATATTCATCAGCATATTTTCCCTCCCTCTTTTTTCCCTGCCTTTCTCCCTTTCTGTGGCAGCTGTGAAACATTTACACGAGGCCGGTGAGTCTGAGTCACACTTGTCCCGCTTGGGTGAGTCTTGCGCTCTCGGCCTCTTTATCGTTCGCTTCTTTTTAAAAAGGATGTCGAGTAGAGCTGTGAGAACTGGATGTCAGGCTCTTTATTAAGTCGTCACTTCTAAGTAGGTGGAAAAGATTATGCGCAGGGATACCTTCACACACACATACTCTTCTTTCCTTTTTGTAACCGTGGAGCTGCAGTTATAGGATTCAGCTCTGCTAATTACTCTACACAGACTCCACGCTTGCTCTCGCTGTATCCTATTAGGAGTGCGCATCTGTGTGCGATCGCGCAACCCGCTCGCGTGCGCTCGCACACTCGTTAAACTCAAACAGACTCCCGTCGGCCTGCGTCGAGTCTGTAAACACACAAAGGTCATCCTTAACACGTTTGGCTGCTCAAGAGTAATGGTGTCGGAGACGTAGGGTCGTGTTTGTTTTTAACTCGGTGTAACGTTGTAATTCCTCCCCCTGTTAGAGCGCCTAGATTCCTGTGTGTAAAGCACCATTAAAGCTAGTTTGCAGAGAAAGCCATTATGGAGGTTGTTTGCGTTGTAACGAGCCACACGGCGCTGGCAGATAATGTTTAATGGTGAATGTAAATAGCGGTGACAGAGTGGGACGCTGTGTGTGTGCGTGTCAGTACGTCGGTGTGGCTTCTCAAATACTATGTGTTCTGGAAATTTTGATGCGCTCATACAGAACTGTATGTAGACGAGAAGCAGATGATGAAGAGTATAAAATACAGATGCATTAATTATGAATGTCAACGTGATATCGAGGTTGACAGGTGAACGCACGTGTTACAGCAGGAAGTCACCTCACTCTCAGACTCACTCTCACACAGAGCATCTTAACTTGTCTCAGGCCCACTCTCAAAATACGTCTCTCATTTTCCTGCAGCTGGCCGGTCCTCAAGAACCATCATAGGGCCCAAACAGAAAATAACCCATAGAAGTATCCAAACAGTATTTGTATTACTTTTATACAATTTGCTGTACTTTGCAAATGTGGCAGTGAATGTGTGACTAGCACATTTCCAGGTTGTTTAATTAAACTAAATGGGAAATTCCTACAACACAATTGCCAATTTATTTTAAATTAAGTGTAATAAACCTATATAATTGTCATATTCCCTGATAATGTTAATTAGCTCATTCAGTGGATTCCAGAGCGATCTTACCTTAACAGCCACGAGGCAGCAAGCTGATTATTAGTAATTAATTCCTATTACGCAATCAGAGCAATCTTAGAAGTCTGACAAAGAAAACAGTTTTAAGATGTTGCTTTTTATTTTATTTTATTTTCACTCTCCTGCTTTCATGCATATGGACTGATACTGTTTAAGCCCGAGACTGTGTGACCAATATTGGGACTGCTCATTGCTAAGATTAAAATATCCTCTGAAAACACACTCAACACTAACTCAACCATCACCTTATGATATTTCCTGCCATCGTTCATTTTCCAAAGCACAAACGGAACTGAAAACTCTTCCTCTTTTCAGCCCCTTGCGTCTTTCTCCTCCCTCTCACCTGACGGCGGTCTCTCCCCCGGTCCTCTTCAGGGTGTTGGGGTTGCGGATCAGTTTGTCCAACATGTTGACTATTTGCCCAAACTTTGGCCGGTCGGCCCTCTCTCTCTGCCAGCAGTCTAGCATGAGTTGGTGGAGTGCCACGGGGCAGTCCATGGGCGGGGGCAGTCGATAGCCCTCATCAATGGCCTTGATCACCTGGGTAGCAGATAAATGTGGCTGTAAGACTTTATGACTGAGCAGAAGTGTTATAAAAACTTCAGGCAGTTTGATTACTTTGTCTTTTTTCTTAATTACTGCACGTTACACGCCTACACAATACATTATCTTTTTTTTTTCCTTTTTTATAATTAGTGGAACCACACATGTGAGCTCACTGTGCAATAAGGAAGAGGAACGCTCTGCTGGTGTTTCATCACAGCTGCAGGTAATTGTATAACTACGTTAAAATGATGAAGCATTCTTATAAAGTTGTTTGACATTACCCAGCCTTAATATCTCACAGTAATTCACCCTGTGCATTATTCATGACTCTCTGCATATGATTACGTTGCTTCTGACTTACATCTTGGTTGCTCATGTCCCAGTATGGCCGCTCGCCGTATGACATCACCTCCCACATGACGATGCCGTAGCTCCACACGTCACTGGCCGAGGTGAACTTCCTATAAGCGATGGCCTCCGGGGCCGTCCAGCGGATGGGGATCTTTCCTCCCTGTAATTGAAAGCTGGGCTGATTAATGAAAGCCGACAAGTGAGGGTACAGACAGCCCGCTGACTCAGTCACACAGATGCTCGCCAACACACAAACACGCTTGCACTCACCCTGGTAGTGTATGCGGCCTCGGGGTCGTCCTCCAGGACTCGGGACATGCCGAAGTCGGACACCTTGCACACCAGGTTGCTGTTAACCAGGATGTTGCGAGCGGCCAGGTCACGGTGGACGTAGCTCATGTCTGACAGGTACTTCATGCCGGAAGCGATGCCACGCAGAATGCCGACCAGCTGGATGACAGTGAACCGACCGTCGTTCTTCTGCGGGGAAAAAAAGAGAAACGCTCATCCTTATTACTGTTAAATATCCACACTGTGACAAAAATGTCTGCTAAGTAAATACAGGGACACTTGTGAAGGGTCACTCCTAATAGCTCATTGGGTATCGTAATAAACAATAGTCTTAAGGTTTAACTTTATAGCGTAAGGATCCGTAAGATTAGAAAAGACCTATAAAAAGTCCACTCCATTCCACATCTCCCTTTAACTAGCACTGTGCAACTGGTTAAGATGTATAGTGGACCTGTAGTGCTGTGAACCTGAGAAACACAAAGTTTCACCTGTTTCAACCTCATTGTCAGGAGAAAAGCGAGACGATAAATGGGAAGGACAAAGTGCGAATGTTTGTGAACCGACACTTGTAAATTTGGTGGATGACATTACAGAGATAAGATGGGATCAGCGTCGATGCACAAACACGCATGAACACGTGTGTGTGGAGACAGAAACGCATGACTGACCCTCAGGAACGCATCCAGGGATCCATTTTCCATGTACTCTGTGATAATCATCACCGGTTTACCTACAGAGAGAGAGAGAGAGAGTGGGAATAAGAGTGAGAGAAGGAAAGGCAGATGATTATAGAGGTAAACGACGCACATCACAGCTGAACGCAGCAGGAGGGGGTTCTCCAGGGAAAATGCATGTGTGTGTGTGTGTGTGTGTGTGTGTGAGGCCATCCATCTCCGTCCCATAGTGATTTAATTAGCTGTGTGTTACCGTTGCCCTGACGTCTCCCGTCTTTCCCTTAACATGCAAAGGCATCTACACTGCAACAAAACACCACACACACACACACACAGACACACACACCATCTTGTGTTTATGCAAATATGATCTGACTCTGGGCGTATTATCCAAAGTCTCATCACAGTCACCCACCCAGAATCCCCCTAACTCGCTATTTCTGTCACTCACTGTCCCTTTGCCCTCTTTCTCCTCTGCCAACTTTCGACGCATCTGTCACTCTCCTGCTAGCTCATCTCTGTTGCTCTCTTTTTTCCCCCACTCCTCCCTCGCTCCTTCCCTCTCCTCGTTTTTATCCTCCGTGAACCCTGCCAATCCTCTCTGGCCTTTTTACACCCCATCCCTTTCCGTCTCTCTTGGGGGAGCGTCTGCGTCTTTATCTGAGCCGGGGCAGGCGGCGGGGAGGGTGGACATTCCCTGGTGGGTCTCTGTCTGTCTGTCTTTGTCTCTTAGGACGGAGGGAGGGAGGGGCATATCAGAGGAGAAGAGAGATAAAAAAAGGGAAAGGAAGGGCGACCCGCTTGTTTTTGTCCCAAAACTGCAGCAAGCTGGTGCCTAACCAGCCACGGCAACAACACATGCTGAAAAGTGCTGCCACACATTCGCCTCCTAGAACAGCGTCGCTCTTTGTGCTCCATTTCGAGTGGCACAGTTAAGGTGGACTTAAAAGCTTACAGCCTTATAGAAAACTGCTGACTTAAAGCCTCCGCCTTAAGGGGAGCTTGTATGAAGCCTCTCGAGTGCTCCAGCAGAATGCCGAGAGCTGCAGAAGCCCGCTGAGAAGGTGAAGTTCCTCTGCTCTGCTGCGGGTCTCTGGCCGTGCCAAGAGGCCGTCAGTCACTGCCTTACCCGCTGCGTGATTGGCACTCCATTAATTACGGGGCACTCCGGCAATGCCCTAAAAAGAGGAAGTTCGGCTAAAGTTGTGTGAGAGCAGAGGGGGCCGTCTTTGTCAGCCATCTTTGTTCCCTTTGTTGCGTGCCTCTGCCCCAGGGCCGCCGGTGATTGACAGCTCCGCAATCAAGTCTGAGGCGAGTCTGACCTGCGACCTTAAACTCTCGCCTTCCCAGCCCCGCCCTCTTCCTTCCAGTCCATTTGCATGCTAATTCCTTGTTTACTGAATACGCCTAGCCGCCTTTGGCAATGAACTCTGGGCGAGGAACCCATCAGTGGGCCGATTATCACCTGCCAACAAAACAGGGAGATGGCAGAGGGGGAAAAAAACGCGTCAGGGGGACAATATTGGGGGAACGTTGGGCAAATGTCCTCCGGAGGCCCTGGCGTTTGCAGCAAACAAAGATCTGGGTTTTAAAAGCGGACCTTTTTTTAAAAAAAATCAGCACGCTCTTACTTCATGTAAATCACCCATTAAGCACATCACGTCTGATTTCAAGCTTTAATGGATCCTCGATTTTTAATTACACACCAACGCGATAGAAACATTAAATATAGCCTTCAAGATGGTGGACCACAGCCAGCAAGTCAGCGAGAGATTTTTGCACATTTATGTATTTTAGTCCCTATTTGGAGTTCCTCCATAATTAATAAGCCTTAATTGGCTCTGTTGGACATGCCAGCAAACTGAGGCCAGATTGAGAATTCCTTTTAACTTGATTGTAATGGAGAGTGGGGCGCAATTCAAATAATGGATTTTTAATAGATTCCACTGACACACTCAAGTGTGAAGGACTAATTTGCCCAAACCTCGTGTCAAGCTCTCAAAAGTAAGAGTGGAAGGAGGTGGAGTGGGAGTTTTCGGACGCCCTTCTTGCGTTTGGTTCGCCGTCCTTTCACGCCAGCTCTCTTGTCACCGCTGCGTCGCTCATTCCTCCCCCCCCGTCTTTTTGTTTTCAGCCTCCGGTTGAGTAGCTCGAGCACCCTCTGCTTTCCCTCTCTCTGTGTCGTCCTGTCTTTCCTCTCATCCATCAGCTCCTAACTGTCCGGCATCTCTATTTGCACCTTCCCTGGCAGCAGCTCGTCTCTGGTTTCTCTTCCTTCCTCCATCTGTCCGCCTTTTTTCTCTGTCGTTCTCGCGCCGCCGCTGCGAGGTCTGAGAGGTCATTCCCCGCCATGTGAGGTGTGATAGGTGATAAGCAATTCTGCCTGTGCTGCTGTTCACTTTCAGCTCCGGCTGGGCTGCATGTTTGTGTGTGGGTATATCTATACATATATATGTGTGTGTGTGTGTAAAAGCGGTGTATACCACAGTGAGAATGGTAGTTTTATCTAGCACAGAGCTGAGCAGTATCACGACACATTAAGGCACATGTAGCCGAAGCTACATGGTAACACTCAGGCACACATGCATGCAATCAAAGGTACCGGATGTTGGCATTTGCTGACAAGACACCCACACACACAGCGCACACCCACACCTGCACACACACATACCTATAGCCGAACAAATAACATCAGGGGAAGGTGTAAAAGAGGGGGAGAAACGGAGAGAGCGCCGAGGGCAGGAGGAGGGAGATTTGGCCAGTGTTTTGTGGCCATGCAGCAGCAGATAGAGGAGGGATAGGGTATCACTCCCTAACCCCAAACACATTTACAGCTGACACCATGATTAATGAGTCTGGTGCCGTGCTACAGGGCCTGTTCCTGGGCCCATTAGACTCCCACACCCACCCCTCTCCCAACTGCCCAGCTACCTCTACAACCACCTCCCCCTCCACGGCAATGCTGGACCCCTTCCATCTGGACAGAAACCCACCTGGGGATAAGCCAGCATGGGACGTGCGGACGATGCTCAAAAATACACATTTATCTGAGAATATTGTGAAATCTTTGTAAAACGTCCCCACAGAAGCATTAAGATACACACTAGTGCGCAGGCGTGTGAGTAAAAACAGGCTTGTCCCTACGCTCACCTTTCTCCAAAGTCACCCACAACTGCACTTTGTGATGATTTATTGCTACATTTTTCGTGGGAGACAGCAGAAATGACTGCCCTTTTAGAATATAATAGTAATTGTATGTGTGTGAGCTAAGCATTATTGCAATTTCCAGAAGCAATTTCACCTGCGCAAAACACTTTCCTCCCCTCATTTGAAACACATTCTGTAAAAATGAATCCTTGACATACATTTGGTGACCACGCCCTCCAGGTGAATGATGTTGGGGTGGTCGAACTGGCCCATGATGCTGGCCTCGGACAGGAAGTCCCTCCTCTGCTTGTCCGTATAGCCAGCCTTCAGAGTCTTTATGGCCACGCAGATCTCCCTCTTGCCGGGCATCTTCAGGCGTCCACTGCAGACCTCTCCAAATTCCCCTGAAACAACAGCAACAACAGCAAAAAAAAAAACCCACTGATGAAAATGTGAAGCGCTGATACACGAGCACTCTGATCCACAGACTATAAATCAAATCAAAAAGAGTGTGTGCCTACACGTCTGTTTGTGTGTGTGTGTGTGTCTGTAGGTTAGAAAGGTTCCACTTTAAACATTGATCAGGGTCTCTAATCCTTTACTCCCCCTCCTCCCTTCACCCACTGGAGCAGAGAGAGGGGGAAATGGATATTGATTCTTTCTCTTTATTATTTTGTCATTGGATGACTTTTCTCTGGCCCAAGGAATAGCATGGACAACATATTTAGCCACTGTTGATTTTTTATTTAACTTGTTGACCGCTCTAGAGCCAGAAGCCACATGTTAAAGTCTGGGAAAACAGTGGATTTTAATCTAAAAGAGGCCACAAAAAGTCCACATATCACAGAGAAAGGTGTGTTTGTATGAAACAAATACAAAATATGATCTTTTTCCAATGCATGTAATGTAGGAAAAAAAATTCTCCTCACCAATGCCAATCACTTTCTCAATCTTGATACAGGAGGCATCGATCTCTTTGGCGAACTCACGGACGGCCTGGTTGGGGTCCTCATAGGTAAAGGGGTCAACATATATTCTCACTCCTGGGGAAAGAAGTTTGCAAAAAAAGGAAGCAAAGAGAGAAGGAAGTTTAAAAAAAAAGCGAAGGTTAATTTATTCCAACTACTACTCTCCATCTGTTCTTTATTTCCATCGTGCTGCAGGCTACGCTGCCTTCCTCTATAGATCCTCTCCTCCTCCTCCTCCTTTCCTCTCTCCATACCTCGCTTCACACACGGACTCCAGCGCTTTTCATGTCACTATGGCTGACTCCGATGAAGATGGAGCTCATTAACTTGAAATTTTTGTGGCACACAAATAACAATGCTGATGACTTGATAATGAGGTGTTTGGAGCATGTTGGGTTGCAAGTACATTAACTTCAAAACAGTTTGTTTTTCCTCCCATTTTATGGGCTTCATTAGTGTACACGAGCACACCTGACAGCAATAATGTTTTACAATTATAAGGTCTGTAGGCGGAGTGTTAACTATGAGTTACCTTGATGTAAGTGCTTCTCTTCATCAGAGTCCTGCTTGGCTTTGCTGTATTTACTCCTTCTAGGGGGCAAAGAAAAGCAGAATGGTCACTCATGGCAGGGAATCAAGCTTCAAATCTCAGGAAGTTAGAACACAATTATATCTTATACATATACGATGAGATATGGATATTCCTTTTTTTTTAAATTAAAATTTAAAATTATTTTTTTAATTAAACAATGCTCATCACAAAGATTTTAATTGTCTGCGGGTTCTCAATCATCCAGTTCATGTGTCTTTTGCCCCAAGTCCACTTGCCTTCTTTTTTCAAGCTCTCAAGAAAGATGATTTAAAATATCATGTTATGATAAAACCTTTCAAAATAGTTAAAACCTTTTGCAAGCTCATTTTCTTGTGTGTGGCACATGTATGTCTGTAAAGTAAATATTTTGCCCCCAGTTGGCTGGAAAAAGGGGCGTGTGTGTGTTTTTGATTGGCTGCCCCTCACCAGGCTTCCTCAAACAAAAGACGTTAATTCTTAGCTCTTCCTCCATATTTCAGGGAAATTAATCTATAGCTCTCAGAATAAATCTATGGAGCCAACATGAACCTGTGTCCCCATTAAAGGAAGGGTTTCAGGTGACTAGTTACTAAAGAAATCCTCGTGAGGTGACAAAAACAATGCTGGAAACCAAACCCTAATCTTTATATTGCACACGTGGACTACTTTTTCCATTTTCTGACCCTGTTACCTGAGATTTTGACCATGCTTAAAGATGATAATCCACAATTGTAGAAGTAAATATAGCACAAATATGTACCGCTACCCTTTAAGACTGTGTAATAATAATACAGTCTTATTAGTATTATGCAAAAACTAAATGATTACTTCATAAAATACATATCAGTGCAACAATAATAGTAATAATCCAAATAAATAATATAAGTGTCTTTAGTTTAGATGTTTGTTAATAACAGTTTTACTTCGATATATATTTTTTGCATCAAAGTCAAGTGAAAAATCTTCCAACATTGAAGCTTTCTGAAGGGCACTGAGCGTATAACAACAACATGGAGCAGAGAAGCTGAACGAATATAAAAGCTATAAATCAATTCTAGAGAAGATGCACTTAAATCCCTGCGAATCCCTCAGGCTGCCTGACACCTGTGCTTATTATTGACGTGTTAAGGTCAGTGGTGGAAATGACCAGATGTGCGAGACATTGTCCTCTTCTACGGCTGTGTAATGATGGTAAACGGCTACGTGATTACAGTCCCTCCCCACAATCACAGGATGAACGCGGCAGCACAATGACAGTGGCCGTCACATGCATATAAAAAAGCCTGAGAGAACCACCTGCTTGGCTGCAGAGAGAGGCAATCACATGGAAAAGAGAGCACACACACACACACACGCACACAAACACAATCAACAGCCCCCTTCACTCCCTATCATTCACAGCACCAATACACACATGCAAACAGTGATTTGGTCAATTCAAGAATCAACACACAAGCCATTGACACCCCCCTCCCCCCACTGCCACACCACACGCACACAAAACGTTTTGTTTTTTTTTCCCACAGGATGTATGCACTCGCACCCCTAACACATATGGAAGCGCACACAAACACACACACATGCAGAGAGTGCGTGTGGTTTTACACCCTGAGGTGAGGCAGCCCCATCTGCATGTAATCCCATCTGTGTGATGGCGCTTTGTCCTGCTCGCTGGTTAACACCCTGAGATTGGGTCACTGCAAATCCACCTGATGCCTCTCTGCCTCGTCCTCGCTCTATTCTGTCTCCTACTTTTTCCCGCTTATCTCATTGTCCACCCTCCCGTCGCTCTCTCATTCTCGTCGCGGCGGTCAGCAAGGTGCAGCGGGAGAAAATAACCAGCGGCAGGATTACAGCCACTAGCTGAGAGATAGTGGGAGAGGGACGGGGTGGAGTGGAGGCGGGTGGGACTATGCGAAGGGAGCGGGCTGGATGCAGAGGACAGGGAGCGAAGGGTCGCTGATTGCATCCCTTCAGCTGTCGGAGCTGTCAATCACATCTCCGGTGTGGCGAGTCATCACTCATCCGACGTGAGCGAGCTGCACTAGCTGTCTGGGAGTGTTAGTGTGTGTGTGTATGTGTGTGTTCTTTTGAGTGACTTCCATTTCCTGACGGCACTAAGTAAGACATCCCTCATCTGTGTGCCGAGAAAGAGAGATAGACAGAAAGCAGAAGGGACAGAGTTCGATGGAAGGGCGGGGGCGGGTAGCGAAGCTCACCGTCGGCTGATGACGAAAGCACTGATGAGGATGATGAGCAGAACCACGCTGCCCACCACTGACACCAGCAACACCGTGGAGTTGGCCCCGTCGCCGATAATGGGAGCTGGGACTATCGGAGAGAGGAGAGAAAAGAGGTTGGAGAGAAACAACAACAAAAAAGAGCAACTCGATACCCCTCATCCCTCCGCCTCCTCCTGTCCCCACGCAGTGTTTGCTCGCTCTCCCTCCATTTTACTATTCTGATCATAAAGTCCACTGTTTCGCATGCTTCATTGGGAGACAATGACAGCCCATTAGGATGTGTGCTTGACCGTGTCATTATCATGCGCTGCTGTCTCTATCTGCATTACAAAAGGGACACCTGGGCTTCTAGTGGATCTCTCTAGCCCTCTGTGTCATCAGTAACGGGAAACATTATGTGGAAATATATTCACTGGACCAAAAGCTGAACGCTAAGAAAACACAGAAAGCTGAGATTAGATTTAATAGGCCACATATTATTATTGGAGTGATGGTGCTGTTTACCACTACTTACAAGCTACTCGGGTGCATAACAACTGTTTTGTGTGTCACCCGTTGGGCACACAGACCATCATCTCAGAGGCCAAGTCCACCATAAACAGAAGCTCTAGCAGGTGGACGGCTGGTTTATGCACCGTGCTGTTAGACTGGAGAGATTACTACTCAGTTATTTATCGTCACAAAGTATCTACGATATGTATTGTTATAGACGTGCCCAACTCGTGCCCCTTTCACCACCGCAAATGCAGTCTGATGCCAAATTTTTTGCTTCAGTGAGAAACCTGTGTCGTAACTTTAATCGGAGACCCCTCTTAACCCTGCACCAAAAGCACGATCTGATATCCTCGTGTTGGTGTTGTTCCCAGATCATCATACTAAAGGTTGTTCCAGGATCAACATTGCAAGTGACCAATCAGAATGTTGTGATGTCATACTTTTGCGACTTCGGGAAAAACCGGCGTAAAACAAAAACCTGTACTTAAGCTGCGAGAAACCGCCTTTGTCCGCCGATCAACGGACCCTGACCCTTTAATAAACGCTAAGCAGAATTGATATTGTCCTTGCAACATTGGAATTTCATAAATGCACGAATGGGTTGGTGCGCAAAAGAATAACATCACAATAATGTGATTGGTCACTTGCAAGGTTGAACCTGGAACAACATTTTCATGATGATCTGGGAACAACACCAACACGACGATATCAGATCATCCGCACCAAAACCTTCCACGCCAATGAGAGTCGTTGCAGGCGGGTTGCGTGCAGTTACATTTCTCTGGAGGTGCACGTCAGGTTACGTAGAAGGTTGTGGCCTCAGGGTTAAGAGGGGTTCCTGGTTATGCAGATTTCAAGTTGAAGCACAAGTCGGGCATTAGTCAGTAGTAAAATTCTTCCTGAAAAAACAGACTTTCATTTACATCATGCACAGTTTTCCTCGTTCGTTTCCCCTCAAAGGAGTTTCATAAGGTCATGTTATTCCACTCTGTCTTATAGCATTTGATTTATTTTGTAACAGATTTTCCCAAGTTTTTTTGTTTTTGCTACTCAGTATCAAATGGAAATCTTTGGAAACTGTGGGACCTCCGCTAGAATTTCAAATAAACTTCTCGGGGTCTGAACAAGTTTTGGCTGCACTCTATATCACTGTAGTAAGTAACCCACTAGTGGGTTAGTGAGGTTTGAGAGGCTAATCTGAAATTGTGATCAGAGTCCACCTACACAGGCGCTGTTGCTCCAGTTATCACAGGGTTTGTGTGCCTTAGACTCGGGTAGAGAAATGAATACATTTATTTTGGCTTGAAACTGATTCAATTAAAGAGTTCTGGCGAGCAGTGAGAATTATCTAGCAGCAGCGTCTGACTGAAAACGCCACAAATGGTGCCATTCTTCAAAGCTTCATACAGTTTAAACATCAGCTGGCACGTCTACTGAGGCTGATACTCAGACGTGAATAATGGAAGATCTTCAAGTTGCCAGTCAGGTGCCGGAGGACAATATCATTTATCTTTTATAGACAACAGCAATTTTGATTAATGACTCTCCAATGAAAGAGACAAACTTGTAAGAGATGCTATCATTGTAGGAATTTTTCAGACACTGCCATGGCGGAGCTGGAATCAGGCCTCTCCTGGCTCTGCAGGGAGAAGAAGACGAAGATGAACAGGCAGTGTGACTTAACTCACCCGAGTTGGTCATGAACTCAAACGGGCCGCTGAAATCTCCGTAGCCGGCCGCTGTGCGAGCCCGCACATGGAAAACATAGGAGGTGAGGGGGGTGAGGCCCTTGATGTCGGTGCTCCTTGATGAGGTTTTTATGATGCGGTAGCTTCTTTCATTCTGGTCCTACAGCGGGACAGGAAAAAAGAAAGAACACAATACCACTTATTCAGAGGCTGCCTTTGCTTTGACGGTTCAACAGAAACAAAATCTCTCGCACCGTCCCTCACCTTCTCGTAGTACTTGACCTCATACTCCAGAATGACCCCGTTGGCTTTTTCCGGCGGCTGCCAGGCCAGGGAAATGGTGTGTCTTGTGATATCCTTGGCCTGGATGGAAGTCACTGGAGAGGGAGCTGGTGAGACGATCAAAGAAAGAGGAAACAGAAGAGAAAAAATATGTTTAGCTGTTGTTTTCACCCTTGGAGACATTGAGTCTGTTCTGTCCCACACTTTCGCCTGCTCATGCTGAGAAAGTCAAACAAGCCACGAGGCAATCGCTTCCACTTCTCTTTGAGCTTGGCTCTCATTCAGAATCAGAGGTCTTGCGAAACCGTGCGGCCACACAGCTGATTTGACAGAAGGAGCGTGAACTAAACGTTGGCGTCTATAAAACCGATACAAGCTCTCCCGTGACACGAGCGTCTCAGGCACTTTTCTCAACCGCAAAGTATACGAATAAAATCAAACGGGCTCGACACCTTTGCATTTTTTTGTCTTTAAGAGAGCAAATCAATTGGTTTTCATTAAAGCTCCAGAGAGCGATCTTATCTCGAGCCTTTTCTGCAGCAGCTGATAATGAGGCCATATTTCAAGCAGCAGCTATCTGTGTTCCGACGCCTTTAACACGTGAAGGTTAAAGCACAGATAATGGCTTATGCTCGCCCCCTCCCTCCAAGTGCGTCGCCGCTGCACAAATCAAGCCTCTATCTCCGGGGAGTGTGACAACACGTAAATTGGGTCATACACGCTCGCGACTTTACGAAGAGAAAATCCATAGGTGTAGGAGAGATAAAGTTGTAAACAGAGGAACAACTCGTGTAAGGACTGAGTTTTGGGAGATATAGCAGTGCAGTCACGAGATGATAGAATAAAGCTCCACAGATAAACGCAGACAAAAAGACCAAAATAAAACCATGATGGATTTAAAGTTCCTGTAAAGTAGAGGGAAAAATGCAAAAACTTTGTGATACTTGTGTCAGTTAAAATGCTTGATTTTGGTTTTAGCCCCTGATTGCAAAAACCAAACGTCACATATTCTAATAGCACGGCGTTAGGGTTAGAACTCAGGGCACCGAGACCACAGAGGGTTAAATAATACTCCCAACAACCTCGCCCACAGAGTCAGAACAAAGCACCACATAGACAAACATTCCCACTAACGCCCAGGTAACACCGTTTTTTTATGGCATCTGCTCTTACGACTCCAAACGGAGCAGATCTTTGACCTCTGCCCCTCGCTGATTACTGTAACCTTACTCGTTCCAGACCATCTGCCTTTTAAAAAATTACAGTGGGGATGATTAATGAGGGGTTCACAGTCCACCGATTATGATTGGATTATCTATGACATTATATACATTCTCATCACTTTGACCGGGGGCTCCAGGGAGCCTAGCCCACAAGCTAATGCTAACAAAACCCTGCTTTTAGCTGGGGGATTGAGTTCAAACGGGCCTGGAATTCAAGCACCAACCAAGGGATTGAGTTTCATTGGGGTGAAGAAGCGACAGGGGGAGATGGGGGAGGGGAGGGGGAGGCAGAGGGCTTGCGACTGGTGGGGGTCGACTGTGATGGAGAGGGATGGGATTGCAGACATCTCTTAGTAAATAGATTAACCCAAGGTTGTGTCATCCTGTTGGCCTAATGTGTTGCGTCTCCCTTAAACAATTACACGGCGGCCATTTGTAGCCCTCCGATCAATCTTAGCCGGCAGCGAGAGCCAATTTGAAGGCCCTCCTGGGGCCGACTGAGGATGCTCCAACTCCGAAAGGAAAACCCCCGAGGAGGTCACGGGCCTTCATTCCCTGGAGGTAATCCACACATCCATCTTCCCCTCCGAAGATGACAGATATGGCGATTTAATCGTGTTCTGCTGCTCCCGTTGCGTTTTTATTTTCCTCTCGACTAATGTGAGGATAAAGATGACAGATTTTCTGAGTGATCCCTTCTAATGGACACGACCAGGCAGCTCGGCTCACACACAGAAGAAGAGATCCATTAAAAAAAACTACAAAAAAAACCTGGTTAAATAAAAAACAAAACACAAATGCATACAGACAAATCGTGCACAGCTAAACTTGAGATCCTAAAATTGAAACATTCACCTGAGGCACAGCGTGCTAGACTTGCTGGCACCTCTGTAGATGAATTTAAATATGTGGGACAGATCTGTAATTTCTTACCGCCCCCCTCTGAACGCGTGGGCTAAACACGCTGGTGGAATAATAAGTGTTAGACGCAATGAATATTCAGATCTTATTTCAGAATTGTGCTCTCTCTCAAAAAAAAATGCTTTGCAACACACACAGACACAAACACACACACAGACACACACAAAGGAACTCATTATACAAACAGAAAGATAGAAATTCACATAGAAAAACACACACCTAGCCCCATTATCTCACACAGCTCAGACAGCAAAAAAAAAACAAAAAACTCAATCACTGCGCACATGCATAAATTAAAATCGGTAAAAACCTGGCAGAGGCACACAGAGTTCAGGGTTTGGTTTGAAAAATAACCTTCCCGGCAGAATAGCGGATTTTTATTTTTTATTTTCTTCTTTCTCCTTTTCCAGCTCGTCGAGCGAGCGTGCTCATCACCGAGTATTTGTGCAGCGAGGAGCATCTGCGGTGGAGCATTTGTGCGAATACGCGGCCGATTACAGTTTGACATTAAAACAGACAGGGGGTTGCACATGTGGTTGCCAGATTGGAGCCTGGTTGCCAGATTTGAGTCACTCTTTTTTTCTTTTCTTTTTTTTTCTTTGCCTTCGCCGCCAAGGAGAAAGAGTCGAGGAGGGAGCCATTTTTCAGGGTGTTGGGAGAAAATGGCTCCTGCTTACAAGATTCCCTCCTCGCCCCCTCCACCTATCTAGAGTCAGCCTCCACCTCCCGAGAACACATTTCCACATGTATGCCGGCCCATTTCTTGCCAGAGCGATGGAAAGTCACACACGCACTGATGGAAGTGCCCACACGCACGCACGCACACAATCCTTATGCATGAATTCACTTTTAGCCACCTGAAGTATTTTGTATCAGGACATAAATGGCCCCCACCCCCTCCCTCTCTCACACACAAACACACATCGACATATAGAGCGCTTGATCTTATAAAAGGGGAAGAAAACATCCATTTACAGCCAGGGGTCAGTTCAAAGCTTGGACATCTCACCCTCCCCATCCCCGTTTCCCGTCGCTTTCCTCTTGTAGCCCGGGTGAAAGGGTTACGCCCCGCCTGATTTACGACAGTGGAATTGTTCGTGGCGACACATGGAATCTGACCTTCTTGTACGCGCATAAATACATGCCTGGCCACAGACACACACACGCACATTAAGCGGCACTGCTCATTTTTATCTGACGGCATTCATTTTTCTCCACTGCACCTTCCTACACTTTCCTCTCGTGCCGAAAAAAAAAAAAAATCCAGATCCTTTCCAACCTGCCTAACTCACTTCTTCCTCCCTAGCCGAAATTTGAACTTTAATGGGGCGGGGAGGTGGCGGGGGTGTCTTTTCCACAGCACTTATAAATCCTAATAAATCTATCATAATAAATGTGTAATCCTCTGTGTCTGGATGAGGGGAGGCGATACAGAGAGAGGGACAGCCACAGATGACTGGCTGGATTACCAGCGGCTGAAACCAGAGCTTCTAAAGCCCCTACCGAGCATTAGCAGGAAGAAATCCAATCAGTCTGGAGCTATTCTCTTTTAACACACACACACACAAATTATAAGAGACACACACACACACATGGATACACGCACAGACACACAGAGGACATTGTTTAAGAAGCAAATGTAGATCATCTGCATTCATGCAAGCATCTCTGCAAAACATTTTTTTACTTCTCACCATGCATGCAGTCAGTGCTGCACATGTGCAAGTGCACACACACACACACACACACACACACTATAATAGAGCTTCCAGCTGCAGCTTCATATAACTAATCCTGGCGAACATTTGTGAAACATGCACCAGTGACGAGCCAAAGGCAACATCATCTGTATCTTACAACTTCAAGTCAGCACATTAGCCTCCAGCAACCTTAGGGGGCTCTGTGTGTGAGTGTGTGTGTGTGTGTGTGTGTTTGGGACTGCATCTCTGTAAGAAAAAAAAAATCTGCATTTTTTTGTGCAACTGTACATCAGCATGGTCACGCTGACATGCTATTATGAGCCTTCAGCCCAGACTCCAGGGTGTGCTGCATTACAGCTCCCACATAGGCCTTTCTGGCAGTACTCGCAGCTCTCCCACAGGCAGTACATCCATTCATCTCTATCTTCCTGACCCCGGCTGATAAATCAAGCCACTGTGTCCTTAAATTGCCAGTCCAAGCCCTATTGAAGATATTCGCTTTTCCCAGGGATGGAAATTAGCGATAAAAGAAGACACAAAAAGGCACTTAGCTTGCCACCCAAGAGCAGAGCAGTAAAGCAGACCAAGGTAATGATCGTCTATAAGCGGAGGATAGACGGGAGGCATGAAGAGAAAAGACCCGGGTCATAAAATCCATTTACACAACAACTGGTCACAAAATGGCTAAATGACGAAATAACGGGAGGCTTTGAATACAGCATGGAAGCTGGAGGGCTCTTCTCCTGCTCAAAAGGGGAGCCTGTGGTTGTATTCTATGACAATAATTACACACACAGGCACCCAGGCACATGTAATCCAGCAGAATTTGTAATGAATCCTCCCCAGATCAATACCACTCATCTAATTCATTAGTTTGGGTGCTAAATATAGCACGGTGCCCCCATCGTCAGCCCTGGCATCTTATGCCTAATTATGCAAAACTCCAGTGAAATATTGCATAAAATCATTTCCTTCTGCTGAAAATCCATCATCATCCTCCTCAGTAATCACCCAACCTACCCCCCAATTATTCACAACTTTAATAAACATGTTTTTGACATGCCCCCCAAAAAGTACTTTCAAGCATTCAGTCAAATGAACCCATGCTCTGTACCATACATGAGCCAGCACACTCTCTGGTAACATAAACTCTCACACAGTGTGAGAGTGTATGTTTTGTGATCTCCTGCAAAACCAGAAGACCCCCCTGAACTCACTAAAGTAAGCAAGCGTAAGGAGGGTTTGGAATATATGTTAATAAGTGATTAAACAGATGTTTGATGATTATGGGGTCACAGGAAACCATGTTAGGATCGGCTGAATCAGCTCCCATCGTCTTACCGGCCTGGTTGGTGGTGACGGTCACTGACGTGGCCTGCTCAGGCCCTGGGCTCTGAGGTGAGACTCCATTCACCGCCCACACCTCAAAGGTGTAGTTGGTGTGGGCCTGTAGCTCGTTGATGGACACCCTGGTTCCCTTCAGGCTCAGCTGCTGTGGGCTGAAGTGGATTCCATTTCCGCAGGGTTGACAGCGCCGGCCGTCAGAACCGCAGCGCTTACACACTACATTGTATGTCAAGTCCTGGCGACCCCCAGAGCTCCGGGGTGGGCTCCACTCCAGGTTTACGGAGGTTTCGTTCACATTGGAGATGAGATGCACAGGCGCCGACGGAGGGCCTGCAGAGGGAGGGAGGAGAGCTGGTGTTGTAAAAAGCAGCATCCCAAATGCTAAAAAAGCACACAGATGCAATAACATTGACTTGTGGTTACTGAAATTGAGAAGAAATCCATAATACAAGCAGCCACGTTTTCACGATTCTGTCTTTTACTGTCCTTTATTCTGTCAGTTACTTTTACAGTAACTGCTAAGCTGTTAGCTACTCATGTGTTAGCGGTGATTTGTGGTGAAATATGCAGTTTAATTGAGCTTGAGTTTAGCCAGCTTTTATTTAGAACATATTTTTGTAATGATTTAAACAGCAATCTGTAGGTTTAAGAAGCAGCTTCAGTAATGTGTGTAAGTAATTATAAGCTAATTAGCTGTGTGCTCATGTTGCTTATGCTAATAAGCTATCTAAAGCGGCGGTGGTTAGCGTATGGTTTAAAGCAGCGGGGTTTCTGCAAATTTATTGTAAGATGGACACAATTTTAAACCCAACCCCCGCCCCCACTACTGACTCTTTTTAAAGACTGTTAAATGAGCTAAACGTAGCACATTCAGCTAGTGTTCCCGTTAACCATTTTTTGTTTTTATACATATAAACAGGCCTGTTCGGCCAAAAGTTGCTAGAAGTCACTAAATGATGTCATCGCCCAGTTTGCATAATTGGTCATGCCTATGTAATTGTAACAGACCCTGTAGGAGAGAAAAATAACATTGTGGAAGAGACATAGTGAGTAAAAAAAACACCCTAAAAGCATTTAGAATATATTTAGAACTAGAAATTAAATTTGCCTAACTTTGCCAGAGGGCAAAGTTAGGTTGTGTGTGTGTCTTTTTAGGTCGTTTTTAACCTTGTGATCCATAAAAAGTAACATTAAAAGAAGATCATTTTAACCATTAACAATCAAAATGGACATAGCAAGCCTCACCAGACAGCTTCATTCAAAATTGGATGTACAAGATGGACTTAAGGCTCTGCAAGGACATTTCAAAGTTTGGGGGGTTCGCTTCGCTTATGCATTCGATTCATTTGCAGTTTGTACACGTAGGGGTGAATATCTCCTATGTGCTTTCACGTCAAAAAGTCGTCATAAGTCTCCAATAACACCAGAAAAAAGTAGCCAGATTTGTCGCTAGTCGCTTTTTAGAAAAAAGTCGTTAAGGGGGGTCTGAAAACTTGCTAAATATAGCGACAAAGTCGCTAAGTTGGCAACACTGTGTTCAGCATCCATCTACTAATGTTCACGACACACAAAAAAAGAATTCTTGGAACAACTTAATTATGTTATGTAATAATTATGTCAACTGGTAAAACATGATGAATTAACTTGAGTTAATAAGGCAGACTAAGCCTACAGATTTAAGCTACACACAATGCACAATAGGTGAACCTTAACTTGCAAGGTTTTACTTCAGTAAAAATAACACGTTAAAGGAACAAGCTGTCATCATATTCACCAAACCGCAAAAAAACATCAAGGTCTGAAATTAACTGCTGATCTGGACAGTTGTCGTAATCCTCATGAATACCTGTGGCAATTAATCCTCTCTATACATAAGTTGTGGATTTGTAATTGACTGGGTTCTCCGTTTATTGGGAGCTGAGGCTTCTTGAGTTACCTTTTAATGTCCTGTCCATTACAGAATGGGAGGATCCAGTTTCACCTCAGTTAATTCAGAATGCTAACAGAAATCCAATAGGTCAACAGACTTTCTTTCAGATTCCTGTCGAATCAGCTGGAAAGTGGTGGGATGCCTGAGCCCACTGGTAACAGTGGGACTTTATGGCAGCCAGTGAATAACTTTAAACAAAGTTTGCTTTGGAGCCTGTTATTTAGTCCCTGCTTTGATATAAAAAGCCACATGCTGTAGTTTTATATGGAAGCAGCTCTGCAGCTATGTGACAAACTTCCTGGCACATCAATCCCAATTTACATGTCAGCTCCGTTGTAATTAGTGTGTTTTTTTGCATTGTTTTCAAACATAAGCGGCGGTAATTGACTTAACTCTCACTTTCTCTCTCCCCTTGTCTCTGTTTTCCCTGTCTCACTGCTCTCCACTCTCTCTCTCCCTCTGACTAATGAAGCGCACGCGAGCTGGCTGGGGGGATCGATGCAGGGTGAAATATGAGAGCTAGTCAGTCCGCAGACGAATCATTTCACAACGGAAATTAATTATCAGTGTTATTTTTGGAGAAGGAGAATGGCAATGAATGATTTCACAGAGACACCAAGAGCAGCGGAGGGAGGACCGCGTGTGGGGCTGTGCACGCACGGTCGCCCGAGGAGGAAGAAGCGCGCCCTGAGTGTCAGCGTATTAATGGAGACGAGTAACTGTGCGCTAGGAAGGCGCTTGGCTGTGCGTGTATGGACACGACTCCAGCGTTATTCTGGCAGATAGCGGTAAATTCGCAAATGCTGAGGGGAGGCAGAGGCTGAGAGGACGGAGATGGAGAAGACAAACACCGTCTGTTCACCCAGAAAGCAAAACCTGATTAGTATGTAAGGAGCAGGTCTGGAGGGTTGGATACAAGGAGGGAGGGCAAATAATGAGCGTGGCTGGTAAGGAGAGGTATCTGTTTAACTGCCCAGTACACGAGCGTTGAGATGAAAGGATGCAGAATGGACTGCGCTAATAGCACCACCGCTCAGCCTCCCCTTACCAAGTGTAGCCCTCCATGAAAATCTATTAATACATTCCCATTAAAAATCATGATAAAGGACTCATTCACCATCCTTTGCCCCTGCCTTTTCATCTCCTCGCCCACTTTTCCTCATTTGCTCTTTCACCTTATTCTCCACATCTGCTGCCCAGACAATGGGAACAAGTTACAGATGGGATTTCTAATTTAAGGTTTATCACAATAGCGGCTTTGTCAGTGAGCTAGGTTTAACTCACACCTACTACCTTTACACCAATTCTTGACACACTATCTGAGACACTGGGCTCTTATCTGGACTTCAGGTGTCATAAACGTAACAGGACAAAGGTGGCTGATCATTTGCACAGCAGTGCTGCGCTGTTAAATTAATAATTGAAATGTTACGGGAACACAGACGCAGCTCCATTACCTCAAAACTATAAAACTAGACATCCTTATGTTAGCTGAGTTTTCTTTAGCTTTTCATATAAGAGACAGCTAAAAAAAAAAAAAAAAAAAAATCACAAGGAACAAATTTCCCTTGTGTATGTATTGAACAATTACATATACTGTGCTGATGAAAGGGTGTTAGACAGAACTAATCCATCAAACATGATTCAAACCCCAACATCAGCTCACTGGTAAAAATGTACAAACGGAGAAATATAGATCATATTATTATCCAAACTCATTTGTATTTGCTTTGCTTTTTTAAACAAATTTGTGGCATTTATTTTTTTCTAACCAAGCTGGATTTTTCAGATTTTTGAATGAAACAAACAGATCTGACCAATCAGACCACTGCATTTAGGAACAAGCGCACTCGCAGCATTGAATATCCAAATATTAAAATAATCCGGTAACACAATTAGACGCTGTTCCGGGTCAATCAACTCTCTGAAATGATTACTCTGTCTCCTCAGATGTGGTCCCAACTCTGCCAGCAAGAGCTCAAACTGTCCCACTGACATCCCAATATGTGTACAAAAGCAGTTGGGATACAGTTTCAACTCCTGGATCAAACAATAATATTCTCCCTGCTGCTGCTTGCGAGAATTGGTTTCTTCCTTTTCTTGTGTAGAAACATCAGTACCAGCTCATCGTTGCTTGACGTCAATTCAATTTTTTTCGTAGTGCATTTTCGTAGGACAGATTTTTCGAAAAAAATCAGTTCTTGGTGTGTACGTTATAAAACAAGCTTGCATCCAAAAAGTTTGGAATTTCAATTTTTCGAAAAGTAGAGATTTTCCGCAGTGAGCTTGGTGTGTAAAGGTCTTTAGGGGGCAGGATGTCCATTGACAGGAAAATGTGTATAATCATCCCAGAAAGAATTTTTTGTTCTGCTAATACAAACCTAACAACTGCACTATGTAGCTTTGCTTTTATAAACAAATAAAAATAAAATCTAAATCTTAAATAGCATATCAGTATTCTTCCTTGCAAACACACACACACACGCAAACTACATTTGCCTGTACCTGTCGCTCTCCCAGAAGGCACCATTGGGAACAAGGGAGCGTGGGAGAGCCGTCGGCTGTGACTGACACCCGGTAATTAATCCTGGGAGAAAGAATGGCAGGGGGAGACGGGAGCTCATGCTCGCACAACCTTCATACAACGTTAGCTCAACATGGCCTCAAAATTCACGCTCCTTATGGGAGGAATCCAGGGGGACACTTGGAAAGTTTCTCCTAAAGAAAGTTGGTGATTTCTTTTCCCTCCCTTTCTGTTCGTTTATGGCCTAGCAATTTGCTCAGAGCATTACTTCTTTATTTCCTGCTGCTCTTTCACTTCCATACTCCCCCCCCCCCTCCCCACCTTAATCTGTGTTTCTCATTTTTACTCCACTCCCATTCTCCATCTTTCCCCACAGCAAGCTCCCACCCTCTCCACCCCTATCTCTGTCTGTCTCTTTCTATCAGTAATTGTTAGCCTAGTGCAGCGCAGGACCGAGTTAAAGAGCCGGGCTAAATTGGCCAGAGCAACGACCCTGCTATTACCATCCGGCTGGGATTCATTCAATGCCCCCCTTGAGTCCTCCACAGTCTGCGTTCATTCCTTACTCCATACCTCCTGCTTCCTCCACAAAACCACCGCTAAGAAAACTGGGGAAAAATCTGAAAAACACATCAAGGGCCAACAGAAACCCCAAAATGGAGAACAACCCCTCCTTATAACCTGAACACAAGCAGAGCAAGCAGCTCCCACGGGTGTCTGTCGCTGGTCCTCATTACTGCTTTGTGTGTGGGTGTATTTATACCCACTCACATGGGTATTTTACCTAGTTTTAATATTGTACACTAAATTGTGTTCGGTGATATCTTCTACCTGATTACTTTATTAAATAAAAATAATGAAGTGTATGCGTGTATGGATCTCAGTGCTCCAGCTGCAGAGCAAGAGCAAGCAGTTCTATAGAGGTGGCCAGGCTGAGACTATTAGACACTATTACATAGACTGGGGTGGTACAGAAACTGAGGTCCAAATAACCAATTTTTTGGTCACTTTGATCTCTTTTGTTATTTACTTATGAAGGCAAGAGTGCTACATATCTCTATATATTATTCTATAATATAAAGTCCTTAAATAATTATTCTTGTTTACGGCTGTAAAGCCTGAAGCCTGAAATAATTGCCAGAAAATTCTGCTTGTTTGAAGCTGGAGTTGTTTTTTTAATAAATAAATT